GTATGCTATACGAAGTTAAGTATGGTGCTTGCGGTGACTGCTAATATCATGACGATCTTTTCCTCTACAGCTCTGTGAAACTCGAGCCCTAATTTTCAAAGCGAAGGCTTCTCGTCGGAATACATCAAGGACCTCGCTCATGAATGAATTTGAAGTACTTAATTCGATATTCCAGAAGAATGTCCTCCTTTGAAGGTGCGTTCTATCTCCAAGTTATCGATAAAGGAGTGAATTGGAAGGTTAAGGCGACAAATATACGAAGCAATGGGGCGTTTTCTGTCAACGCGCGGAGAAGAAGATGCTAGCGTGTACCTTGCACGAGCCAAGCAATTAGGAAGTGAAGCAGAGATGGAGGAAAACGAGGAGGATGACGACATAGAGGATGTATGCGATGATTTAGAAGCCAGGCCAGACCGAGCAATTCTATCGGAATGCATGGGTAGAAATGATGGCTCCTATGAACTAGAATTTGAACATGGTTACGATTCTTGATGATTACAGAGCTGGCCCGATTGATGGGCGCGATTGCGCAACAGCGATCGAGAAATCGAGAAGGATCGTGACAAAGAGAAAAACGCTCATGGAGAAACACGACTACACATTGCTGCTCGAAGTAGTGACTCAGCAATGGTGGACAAGCTCATCGCAGCAGTAAGTTGTGCCGATTGAGATAGCATCTCTAGCAAATCTTGTTTGGGCACATTTTGGTCTTTTCAAGGGTGGATTTTTGTGCATTTTAGTGCCCTGAAACCAGAATGCTTTATAGTACTGCATTATATGCAGGTATTGTATGTAGTGACGTGTCAGCCGTCTTGCTTATTCTAAGCGAGATACAGGTGTAGTAACGTCTTCCCCCATACGCACGCAAATATGTGTTGTCCTTCAGGGCTACGATGTCAACAAACGTGATTACGGCGGCTGGACCCCGATTAGTGAAGCGGTTTCTGCCGGAATGCGTGACAACGTTAGAGCGCTGCTGAAAGCTGGTGCTAAGGTTGACCCCGTCAGCACAGAAGTGCTCAACGATGATGAGAACTCGGTAGTTTGTAATTCTTACGTTACTTTCTAACAAATATACAATCTGGTGCAATTTCAGACCAACCTTTTTCAAATAAATTCAAACATAACCGCTTTTTTGAAGTTTCATTGAAGCGTGCTGTCATAAATTTTCATATTCAAGACTGGCGGCGGAATTACTCCTTTGATGGAGGCCTGCGACAAAGGTTTCACTGAAATTATCAAAGATTTACTGAGATGTGGAGCTTCCGTTGTGAAAAAGAATGCCGATGGTTGGACAGCTGTTGATTTTCTGAGGTTTGTTCTGAAAGTTCGAATTTATCAGAATTCTCTTGACCCTTCATCTTGCTGTAGCTAAGGAACCATCAAAATGATCAGGAGAATGAGGAAATGGCTCCGACTTGTTCAAAGCAAGTTGCATGGCATTATTGAAGTATTCGATTTGAAGGGCTTAAGGGTAGCTAATATAAAGTCAAAGCCTTTCTGTATATGGTGGCGCGCTCACTCTGAAGCGCTCGTCTGTCTTTCTGCCACAAAATTTGGTGTTTCCTGGAAAATCACCCAGAGGGACTGGGTCAAGTCGTGGCGTTAGGGCCATAGGCTAAAATGTACGCAACACTTATCGGCCAAGTGTTGCGTACCGTTCACAGGACGCACGCTATGCCACGAAATGGCGTTTGAAAGCGAAAATTTCTATTTCGGTTTCAGCACAGCTCAAAGACCGGAGTAATCTATAAAGGTGTGCATGGAGTTGCGGATTTGGATTAGGAGGGGAACACATGTTGTTTTGTGTTGTAGAGCACCCTTAGAATTGCCAGTGTTTGCTGAAAATTCATAACTTAGTCACTAGAAAGTTTACGAAAAATAAGATGTTGTGGAAGAGTAGCAAATAAGTTGTACAATGCACACATAAGCGGAGAATCGCTTACGATTGGCGGAGCCTATCCTCAAATTGGCGCGGTTTTCTTCAACAGCCTGGTTCGGTTCTGAAAAGGACGGGAACCGGGACAAAAGGGTCAGAGTTTAGCGAGAGAGGTTGATCGACCATACATTAGGGGCAGGAGGAGCGTACCTCGATATGGGCGGAGTCTGCCATGAAATTTATAATGCGTTTCTGACAATGCACGGAGACCAGGGAAACGTGTGACTCTCATTCTTTAGTCTGGTCTGAGGCAGCCAAGAGACTGAAAGCTGAAAGGGGCCCGGCGGAAAGGAAAGTGAATGCTGGCTGAGGGTGAGGCGTGCAATCCGAGAAACGTAGGGGCGATTCCACGAAATCTAGGATATTTTTAAGGCTCTTAAAACGCCACGGAATAGTTAGAAAAAGAAAAATCATGAATGAAGATGAGTTAGGACGAAGAAGAGAGGTCTGAAGCTAGTTTTCGGGCGGAGCTGAATTCGAAAGTTTTGGTTGTCACGTCCCATGTAGCTAAGGAAAATTGGTACTGCACAGTTTCACGAGTAGCTCCTATAATACAAAGTTTTGATTTTGGGAGACAGTTGTTTATTTCGTATTTGAGGGTATGAGGGGAAGTGAGACGACGAAGTACTTGATATTTTTGGACAAATATTTATTTTACGGCAGCAGGGACTTTTTCATTCCATCGAGGCAAGCGCAGAAGTAGTGATCTTCCTGATTTCTGTCTGTGGGCATTTTTTCACGGCTTCGTAATGGTTGACCGAACAACTGATAATTTCCGTGTGTAAAGAACGTTTTTATCGAATAGGCTTGATAGTGATACTCGAAGATATCAACGCACGCTGCTCTCGCTGTTCGGGACTGGCTGTGCGTAGTAATAATACGGTACATAGCATTTCATAGAGCGTGCACTTCATGTTCTTTTCAGAAATTTCATTGTAAACTGTGACAGTGAAGACGAAAGTTATGTGAAGGAGCTCACATCACTCGCTGTGTCTATGGAAGAGCAGCAGAGAAAGCGTAAGTGCTTCGTATACTTTGTTTAAATTTCATCGTGGATTACTTCTTGAGTCTGCTTGAAATTGAAGGCGGCGTTTTTTGATAGGGATTCTAGAGGGGTTTACAAAGGGACTGGGAGTGCTCGATGGTACGCAAATGGAGAAAAAAAAGTATGAAATCTGTCAAGAATATGCGAAAAGGGAACCCCCTGTTTGGCGTTGATCTTCGCCAAGGCCCTGTTTCAGAGATGTCCGCTTGCGCGAAAAAACGCATAGGCGAAATAAAATGAAATATGTATCGACTGAGCGAAGACGCACAGGAGAATCGTGAAGTGGGAGGATCGACGAAAATGAGTATCATACGCATCGACTTACGAACGCTTCGCTCACGCGATTTTCCGCCTGTGCGTTTCTCACAGTCGATACATATCAAACTCTTGACTGAAATTCGCCTGCTCCGGACGTTTCGCTTACGCGTTTCACAATTTCTCAATCGATGCGTATCTAAATCTTGGCGGAGATTTCCATTTTATTTCGCCTCTGCGTTTTTTCGCGTAAGCGGACATCTCTGAACAGGGCCTAAAAGACAGGCACTGGCTAAAACAGCTGTCATATGGACGAGTTATATTGCGACGCGTTTGGTGGCACCATGACTCCATGCTTCAGTCGAGTTGCTCCAGTTGTACCGCTGTTGGTATTAACAAAGCTCGCCGGTGTACTTTTGTCATGAAAACGCCACACCTCGCTCCTTGGTAGCCAAGTAACTGTTTCGCGTGACGCTTCCACGTTGCGCTCCCTCTTTATAGTAATCGCTTCCTTCGAAGGTACACTTCGATATCTAAGGACGTGGAGAATGTTGTGCAGAAATGAAAGTATAGGTACGGAAGGCTCAGCGCTCAATGCCAAAGCCAACGGAACAATTGGGAAGACTTGAACAAGGCCCTCCTTTTTTACAAATTTATGCATTTGAGGAGTTCACGATGGAGTAGCGCTAGACACTTATATGAGAATTAGGTCGCAAAAGACGAAGGGAGAAGGGCAGCTAGATGAGCGATACAGAGAGACCAAGCACAACTTTTCTACGATTTGTGCCATCGTAATAGGCGGCACCAGCGCATAAGTCAGAAATCTTAGCCCTTGCCACACATTCTCGGGTCGGTAGGTGGTCTGCGATTACGGAGAGTAAGCGAGCGCACACCGTGGAAGCTGCCAAATCGTACGGAGAGCACATGGAAAGGTACAAGAAATAAGTGTGAACACAAAAAGATAATAGGCAGGCAGAGATGAACGATCAGATCTTGGTGCAGCTCGTGCAAAGAGCTTCGCCCTCGGAAAATGAGGAGTTGAAACGAGAAGAGGTCACGGTCCATGGCCGGTGCTGCCAGACGTCTCCCCCGGCGCGTCGCTTATATCTCCGCCCTGAAAAGTGTTGAGTCAGGAAGGGGGAACCAACTGAGTACAAACAAACCGCTATAGGTCAAATTGCCTTCTGTAGAAAAGCATGGGAAGCTGGTCGCTAAAACCTGTCCTGCTTCAAATCAAGTGATTGTTTCAACTACTTGTTGTGGTGATCTTACAGAGTCTTTCCCTGTTCGTGGATGTGCTCCGTTGCGACAGACGCAGAGGCAAACGAGAACAAGACCGGTGACGAAGTCTTCTCAGCCAAAATTGCGTGGTGCAGATGAAACAATTGATTTGACAAGTTACAAGGTGGGCTATTGGTGATCATGTTCGTTTTCTGTAGAGGAAGGGAGCCTCGAGCCATTGTTATCTCTAACGTGCAACAATAGCGATTCAGCAAACAAAATTTAAACTTGTGGAGTCAAAGCATAGTTAAGCATAACTTAAAATATGCAGTGAATAGGAAGGAGGATTGTTTGATGATAACAAATTCAATTCTGAATGCGCCACTCGCTCAACATTTGTTCGAAATCGTGAACGAAATTAAATTTTGTATTTAGCCTGACTGTTTTTCTCCTAGATAAGGTCTGCAGGCAATCATTTGATGTATATTTGCGAAGCAAGTAACACATTCCTGAAGATCATACGATCCTCTCAAGCACTTTGGGTTGAATAGGATCTGCGTTCCATGCCCATGGCAGCAGTACGTCGATGGTGGTGTTTGAGCGTAGAATGGGAGAAGGACATTTCGTACTATGATTGTCTTATTCGCAAATACCAATAAACAATTTCATACGAAAATCGAGAGCATATGACCTCAGACGTTCAAAATTGTGCTATTATGCTAGCGCCAAAAATTAACTGTCATCTTATACGTATCAGGACACCAAATAACCCCTATATACAAGTTTACACCGAATTTGGTGAAAACAGCCGTCGTGACAAGGTGGCGCCAACTGGCGCCAAATGGCGCCAGCATCAAAAATGAATGTCATTTCGTAATCAGGGCATCGAATTACCCCTATAGACAAGTTTCGACGAAAAATAAAATTTTGAGATTTTGGAGCAGTAATAGTTCAATAGAGCCTCTTTCCTCCATCAAATCCTACCTTCATATTTATAGCGCGTAATGGGTGGACTTGGAGCTCAGTCAAAGAAGAATGCGAGAGTATCTCGATCGCACAACGAAACAGCCTTGTTCTATGAAGATGATGAGCTTGCGTTCAACT